GGCATCTCAAGTGAGCAGACAAACTCTCATTCCCGATTAACGCAATAGAACATGCATTAAAGAGACAATGAAGTACTGAAAGAATTTAAGCATTTAAGTATCAATGGTTATTTTATATTATTTTGTAAATATTCTATTGAAACTTTTAACCAGAATGTCAACTTCTTTACACCACACAGTAATTATGTGATAATTATACTTTGCAAACTTTGCTCAAATTATCCGGAGAACAAATGTTATACCTTGCCATTTGAGAAATAGCAAGGAACCATTTGTTTTCCCAAATGTTTTCCCTCCTTTTGCTTGTATAATCATGGGTCTCGTTCCAAATAACTTTGTGCCAATTTAGGATAATTACTAGAATTAGTCAGGGTAACCAATAGAACTAGAGTTGGTTTTAAGGTAAGGACTGGAGATTAAATTTTGGAATCATTAATATGGAAATTGAGCCATAATCATAATTCTTTTAACAAATGAGGCCCCATACAATGTCTTTGTGTAATTTGAGTAACATCATGATGACATCAAATTCACAGCTCTGGCCTTGACTAACTCATGGGATTTTGTTGCAGTTTTAGATTCGGGATTAGGTTTTAATGTCAGGATTAGGATCAGGATGACATCATCCACAACAACATCAATATTCATTCACAACAAACACCTGTGAGGTAGTCACCCTCCAGGGGCCAGTTGTTAAAAATATTTGCTGTGTTGGTGTAATGTACTCTGGTGAATAAGATGCATGTGTGATGTTATTAGAATGTTAGGGTTAGTAATCCAAGTGAGAATATATACATTTTCAGACCTAACCAGGAACAACTGCGAAAAATGCAGCACAAGGTCCTCTCGTAGGAAATGAACCTACGGCTCTGCGATTCCTACCAGAGGACCTTGTGCTGCATTTTTCGCAGTCGTTCCTGGTTAGGTCTTAAAATGTATATATTCTCAATTGGATTACTAACCCTAACATTCTAATATTAATTCCACCAATTGGGCTAGTATTCCTTGGCAGATCATTGGGCTAGTATTCCAAAGGTTGTAGGTTCGAATCCCACTGTGGCCAGGCATATGTTTCAAGCCTGCCCGGTGTGGATATACACTCAGAGTAACATCACACAAGCATCTTATTCACCTGAGTACATTACACTAACAGTCCAACACAGCAAATATCATGATTATTAGATTACACTGATATCGAAGGAACTAGACTCAGTTCCAAAGTATTGCATACTCAAACCGACCCGACCGCATAGCTCAGTTGGCAAAGCATTGGGCTAGTATTCCAAAGGTCGTAGGTTCCAATCCCACCATGGCCAGGCATATTTTTCAATCCCTGCCCGGTGTGGATATACACTCAGAGTAACATCACACAAGCAATTTAGAAATATTTCTTCAGAAATCTTGTCTGGATGAATGAAAGTTTTCTTCAAAGCTTCGAAGTAAACAGGCATGTAGAAACACACAAACAAAAACACTATAGGTTAAATTTTAACCAAGGATTAGCCTTAGCTTAGAACAACCGACCCCTGGTCAACCTACAAATATTAAGGCGCTATATTTAAAGCTTGGTGAAACCAAATAGACGACTATATAGACCCAATACAGAAGTAAACATTTCATTTTACAGTCGACAATCAAATGTTGTAGCCGTAAACAGTAGCAAAATACTGATAACAGTTTTAAACAGAGTTTTTACTAATATTTCACGACTACATAGCGGATAAATGCAATTTATATTTTATTAACCGCCATGTGTTCGAGATCATATTACTATTTCACTAACAAAAATTTACATACATACAAATTTGCATGCACAAATTTATATTCCCTGACCCCAGCGTATTTATATTCCCTGACCCCAGCGTATAAAATGCAAATTTAATATAAGTCGATTAAAAATTCTTACCTAACAGGAACATTAGGTCCAGATCTTTCAGTTTGGCTCTTGAAGAACTGCAGTTTTGAAAATTCGCACGTTGGCAGCACGATGTCGCCAGTAGATGCAACGGCGAAGCCTTTCTTCAGTGACAAATTCATCATATTGTTGCCTCAAGAGCGATAATTCCCCTGAAATATGTTCGCTTAGGTTTGCTTGTTGAAAGATTTGGACGAGCTTGCTAAGAACATCGACTTCTTTTAAAAGCTTCCATCCTGATAGCATCCATGTAGGTTGTGATGTATTATTCTTTATCCCGTCAAGAACGTTGCAAGTATCGAACTTTATTGTTGATCATTTGTATTGCGCAATCAAAACAGAGCCACCGTGGCAGACCGTGGCACACATGACCACAACTTGCCCTGTGATTGGTTTGCAACGCTGCACCGTGGCAGAAAGTTACTATATTTAGTAACAATTGCGCAATTTTTTGCACGCTGACCGTGGCATTTTGTGGCTGTGATCGCAGCTTCGAATTTCCGACTGTTTTCCGAACATATTCGGCACAATTCGGCACGCTTTCGGCGGTTTTTATAGTTCAGTGTTTAACTGGATAATTATACTATTGAACAAGGAATATATTTCGGAAGTTTTTCCTGCTTTTAGCACATATTACTGTAATATGAGAACAATTACAAAAGATATTATTCAAATTGTTTGCTATAGACCTATATTTGCTCAATTTTGCTGTATTTCAAATAACTAATATATACTTCTTAAAATGCGTAATGCAGTCTAATGTAGTATCCAACAAAGGTGAACCCCGGAAAATCCTAGGTGGGAAAAATCTGACCGCGGCTCTAGCCACTTTTGCCACGGTCTGGATCCGCGCCTGTTGCCATTCTATCAGAGAACATTTAGATAATCTGTTTGCAACCATGTTTTGGAACCGGTTTAAAACCGTTATGAGTATTAGCAGCAGTAAAGAATATATTTCTCTGACAATGCATGATGTGCTTCCTAGAAACTGTCTTACACTGTACTGCTTGAAATATTGGCTGGTTAATTTCAGGTTTTGCTGAATGTTTATGATGAATTTATCCAGTGGTGATGTCACTAGATGACGTCACCTTTTTTTTAACATGATCAAAGTAGTGCATCCACATGGTTTACATATTAAACGCTTTCAATAAAATTTTGCATTACTACAGCATTAACTACATTTTTGCCTGAGTGCCTAATCCTGCGACCAGTTATTCCTATATATGCAATCAAGAAAATGCAAAATTGAGACTTACGTCATGCCTGTTTGAACTTAGTTCCTTCAATAATGCTGGCCAAAGTTCATCAATCCAAGGTTCAACAACGACCTCCAGTCTATAGCACAATATTCATATTTAAAATGTATAGTGATGGAGTGATATTCATATCCGCATATTAGATATCGGTCCTGAAATGAACATATCAGTACCTGCACCAGAAAATAGTATTTATCTTCTAAATCACCATATTCATCATTAGCATAGCCTCATCCGCAGACATCTCTGTAGTCTGTATGGTTTCAATTTTTTGCCCGCAACCAAATTCTACCCGCCAATCTATGGGCGATGCCTGCGGAGGAGGCTATCACCAGCCAGTGAGCTCCATATATATCTGGAGCAAGAACACAACTCCAAAAAGTGAAGACAAGATGGCGGAAATTGAAGAGCTATTGGACGTCAGTTCCAGTCCCTTTCTATTGTTTTTGTCTGCGCGGTTAACACGAAACTGGCAAGGAGTATGCCGAAATTTCGTATTTTGATATCGAAAGAATAACACTATGGTTTTATGAACTGATGACTTGTTTAGTGATACGGAATTAGCTGGGAAAAATGGTATTAAAACTGTTTACGACCTTTATACTGTAGCTACTGGATGTCAATTTCCACCATCTTGGCTTCACTTTCCTCATACATGGGCCGAATAACTGGAGTTCTTGCTGTAGTTATATCTAGAGCTCACTGTCAGCATACTTTACTTTACTTTACTAGAGTATACGTACAAAACTAAAAATCTTGTTATAGGATTATGCAAGCATAAATAATGCAGAACAGTTCCTATAAAAGTACAACCTTAGTGATATTAAAGGAATACCAAATGGTTTTCCGTGCAGGATTGCGTGATCCATGCACGAGGGATGTCGCGAGACGTTCGGAAAGCGTAAAAATACTCGAACCGCAGGCGAGTGTATTTTTACGCTTTCCGAAAGTCGAGCAACATCCCAAGTGCATGGATAACGCTATCCTGCTTGGTAATTGTTTTATAAATACCATTTGGTAATTGTTTTATAAAATAACTACAGTGAAACAATGACATTTTGAGAATCCCGCAAAGGCATTTTAATAGACCTTTCCCCTTTCAAGTGAAATTTTGATCTAGACAAGTCTGGACAAAAATTTCATCACAGCTTGAAAGAGCATCACAAAATTAGTAATATTCCGAAGTTTCGTTGCAAGATGTTGTAAAATGCGGATAATATAACCTTGCGAAGTTTGCCGTTTTTCAGTCATTTGGTATTACAAATGGGAAATTGATAATCAGATGATCAAACTGATTCAGGACTCGGAATATTATCTTATATCTCGGAATATTATATAGAACTCGGAATATTACTAATTTTGTGATGCTCTTTCAAGCTGTGATGAAATTTTTGTTCAGACTTGTCTAGATCAAAATTTCACTTAAAAGGGGAAAGGTCTATTGCTCGTGCAAGACAGCCTGATCCTGCACGGTATTGACCAATCAAATTGCGTGTTTCACTGTAGTTATTATATAAACTATATTACATTACACTCACCCAACAGCGTCATCCGCAAATCCTGGTGGGTAAAAATGTGTTGCTCCCAGACCAAGAAGACGAGAATTGAGGGTTTTAGAACAATTACAAAAGTTTGTGTAGTTGGTATCACCTAATCCTATGAAGTAAAGAACAAGGCACTTATTTAAAGTCAAAGAGCAAGAGAGATGATGCTTAAATGAACATCTCAATTTTCAAGAACCCATATTCACAAAGGCATTAAACTCATAAACCAACAGACTACAGACCATAAACTAGGCTTGTAACCAAAATTGAAGGTAAGGTGAAATAAAAGCGATATTTTTTGGCTACTTGTGAAATATTTGTGGGCTGTGGTACAGTATCACGAACTTTGTTTGAATGTGTTACTAAAGTAAATAGTTTCCCAGGCAGGGTCTGCCACTAATATGGTTGGTGGATGAAAATAAATTTTCTTTTATTGAAAGTGTTTCATATAACAAATGTTACACCAAATGTTAGACCAATATATTGTATTAATATTATCATCGTCAATTTCAGTAGGGCTCTCCGATATACAGTATTTTTTTTAAGCAACTGGACTAGTGTCTTAGAGTACACAACAACAAACGTATCTTTAAATCTGTAATGGCAGCAAAACCAACTGCGGTCCCATAATGTAAAAGCTTTGGCGACTTGGCCACAGATAGTCTGCGAACCCAGACGTCATTTCCCACGCTTTCCGAGCAAAGAATGAGCGTGCGAAATGACGTCTGGGTTCGCAGACTAAGCTCCAGAAGGACTGGCTATATTTTCATTCAAAATCTAACATGACGAAGTCCTAAATTCTAACTGAATTACCTACCAAGCAAGGCATAATGAAGTCCTTTTAGATAAGTTGAGCCTAATGTTTTCTTCCTTAGCCTTCTCCAGAATTTTGTTACAGTATCAGGGGGATCACCATCGCCAGTTGTTGAAACGACGAACACAACACACTTCTCCTTTTCAATAGAAAACTAAAAAACACAAAGTTGAGGGATGTAATAGGGTTAATCGGTCGGTCATCTTCTCAAATAATTATCAAGCATAAATTGCTGTCAAATAGAGAATAGGAATTAGTCTGAATTTATTCAATTCTTGTGGGACTACCAGAATAGTGGTGGTGACAGCAGTGAAAGCTACTGACTTCCAGACGAAGGGACGTCGCTCAAAACCGCTACCATGATGCGACCATTAACCAATCAGATTCGTTTGATTTATCTGATTAAACAATCAGCAACGTAGTAAGCCAGCGAGAGGTGGTGGAAGCGGAAAACAGATCTGAACCTCTCTAATATACAGGTAGTTGCATCATAGACACAAGTTCACACTTCGTGTATTTCGATATATATGACCAATGTATACCATATTAATTTATTACCTGTATTTCGGTACGCTTCATCCACGTACACCGTACTTCGGTCATACGCTACCGAAATGTGGAACTGAAACAGATGACAAAGGGTCATCAATTTTTCATCCAACCAATCTCTTTTAAGAAA